TTGTGCGAATTGGTGGAGATTGCATGCAATTAAGATGTGTTTTTGGTTGTTGTATAGAATATGGCTGCACAAAACGCAACTTTGTTATGCCGATGGGGGGGTGAATTTGTGTCTGATGGACCGAATGTCCAGTATAGTGGTGGAAATATGGAACCATTGCCACTTGGACCAGACATGACTTTCAACGATCTGATGAACGAGGTTCATAGAATTATTGGCTTAAACCCAATGAATGTACAACTTAACATTCAAATAAGGTTTGAGACTAATAATGCGATTCAAGTGTTACCTTGTTCTAACGATAGACATTTGAAAGCTTTGAGGAGCGCTGTTTTAATGAGGGGTTATCCTCATGAGATATATGTAGAAATAGTGTCTACGTGTACGCAACAAAGTACTCGACCAGATCAACAAGCTACCTGTTTTTCCGGTTACACAGAGTCCTTCCGAATGTCCTCACAAGACATTACATCAACTGAATATGGGATGGGGTCCTTCAGCAGACTGCTTCATGACGATCGGTTCCAGATGCCGTTGAGTTCACATATAGCTTCACCTGTATATGGTGGAACATCTACGACAATGTTTGGCCAATTTGGGCCTTCGACATCGAACACAGTTATATCTTCTCCCATGCAACTCCAAAGTTATTCACCTACGCAGCACGATGATCATACATCACCGTCTCAACCATTGGTGAATCATCTTGAAAATCTACAACATATGGTGAATAACGAGTTGTCTCTGTATGATGTGCTCCGGGAAACAAATGATGAGGCTGAGAGAGAAGAGGAGGAACATGGACTGGATAACATGGATGTTGATTCTACAGACATGGAAGGTGGGGAGGCCATGGTTAGAACTCCTATTCCTTGGTTAAGTCAAGTAAATGAGAATTATGAGGTTGATCAATATTGGGCCGAATCAGGTAGTCATACAACATTTGTGATCGGGGAGGGGGGGAGTTTGAGAAGGGTATGTTCTTTGAATCTAAGAAACTGCTTCAGGAAATGGTGAAGAAGTATTCTATACAAAGGAACCAATTCTACACCACAGTGACCTCGAATGAGAAGGTCCTTCATCTGCGGTGCAAGAAGAATTGTGGTTGGTCGCTACGAGGCACTAAAAAAGTGAGCACTCAGACGGCTTTACCATAGTCACATACAAAGGCCCGCACCGGGACACCTGTGTCACTGAAGTGTTATCTACAGATCATGCACACTTGGATTCATCCATAATTTCCGATTTTGTGAAGTCTTTTGTGCAGAAAGATCCATGCTTGAAAGTTGAATTTATACAGGAACTCATATCCAAGCATTTTCAGTTCGACGTTACTTATCGAAGAGCATGGTATGCTAGGGAGAAAGCCATAGCTGAAGTATTTGGAGATTGGGAGAGTTCTTATGGCCGACTTCCGCACTTCATGGAAGCACTCAAACAGTCAAACCCGGGAACCGTTGTTGTATGGAAACACAAAGCTCTGTTAGACGATGTTTATTACAGCAACATGGAAGTGTTTGAACGAGTATTTTGGGCCTTCGGCCCTTGTGTTGAAGGTTTTAAACATTGTATGTCTGTCATCTGTATCGATGGGACGCATTTGTACGGGAAATTTAAAGGAACATTGTTGGTTGCTACAAGTGTGGATGCAAACTTCCAAGTGTTTCCGCTTGCATTTGCGTTAGTCGAAGGGGAAAACATTTCCAGCTGGTCTTGGTTTCTGGGCTGCATTCGGGTTCATGTCACTCAACGGGATGGCCTCTGTGTTATATCTGATCGACATGCTGGGATCATTGCAGCAATGAATGACCCTAACGTTGGATTCACCGAGCCGTGAGCCTATCACAGGTTTTGTGTTCGGCACTTGGCTTCTAACTTGAAGACTCACGTGCGAAGAAACGACATGAGAGATATGTTCAAAGCTGCTGCGTACCAAAGGCAGGAAAGAAAACTGGTAGCTGATATGAGTTTGATCGGTCAGGCATGTACCAAGGCCATACAGTATATTGTCCAAGTGCCCTTGCCTATGTGGTCTTTGTTTCACGATGCTGGTCGCAGATATTGGATATGTACTACGAACTTCTTAGAAACATTTAACAATGTGTTGAAGGGTGCTCGATTTCTACCTATCATGTCCCTTGTTGAATTAACATTCCACAGAGTTAATAAGTATTTCACTGATAGAAGGGAATTATCTCAGGCTAGATCTGAACAGGGACTTGCATACCCCCCCAAAGTCACTTCCATTATGGAGAAAAACATTGCAAAGGCCAGATATCACAAAGTGGAAGCGTATAACCGTCGACTGCATATATATCAAGTTGAAACAAAGAGGGGAGATAGAATTGGTAGAAAAGGAGGCAATAGACATACTGTTAACTTTCAGTTAAGAACGTGCACATGCAATAAACCACGGATCTTCCACCTCCCATGTTCTCATGTTCTAGCAGTTTGTGCGAAGTATTCGATATCAGAGCGGCCATGGGTGGACCGGGTACTGCAATCAGAGGCCTACGCAAACACATACACTCCCCAATTCTGGCCTATCCCTTATGAGACGGCATGGAGAGAGTAATGGAGGGCCTAAACTCATTCCCGACAACAGCATGGTACGAGGACAAGGTCACCCTAAGTCAAGGCGCATACGCAATGAAATGGATGAGACCTACCATCCCGCGAGCAAATGCGGCCTCTGTCACCAGCAGGGTCACAACAAGAGATCGTGTCCCTCTAGATCGACCGGGCACTAAGTTTTTTTTTCTGTTATCTAGAGTGATGTAGTAGAATAGTACGGTGATTGTATTTCTACATTTCAAATGATTGTAACAGTTGGATTTTTAGATTGAAGTATGAGATTTGAAATTCTGTATTTTGTTATCGCTTGTATGTAATGGGACCCGTATGAAGCTGATTTAGTTGCTGCCATACCTCCACATCTGCTAGATCATCAGGCGCAGTGGCGTTCTAGGGTCCCCCTGATCTGTTTTTAGGTCGTCGAGGGTCACCTACCGGATCGAGTCATGCGACAGTTTGGACTACGCCAGACTGTCCCCCAGCAGTGTGACACTAGTGCCCGGCTGCAACGCATTGACCGTCGGGGAAAGAGCGACAGGAACTGGCGGACGGAGCATGCCCAGTACATTGACTTATGGCATCGACGGTTAGAGTTCGTCGTCACTGGTGACCCCATCCACGGCGTTATGGATCCATACGATCCATACATGGAGTGGTACATGCGGATTACACGACGTTTCATCAACCCCAGCTACACACCTCCATCCGCACATTACCATCCATCCTTTAACGTGATCAGGGGATATGTAAGTGTATTTGATTAACTTATTTTTATCAATTTTAAATTTGTATATCATTTAACTAACTCATCCATAATTACTGCAGGCGTTGGATATGACAGCGATGGTTGACGCACTGTCGGACGTCCTTCCAGGCATACCTGAGCCGCCCAGAGCACATGTCGAGCGGGTGCGAGATATGGGCATGGCTACCTTGCAGAGATATGGTCACGCCTATCTCGTCCACCCCCGGGACGATCATGGCGGCCACTCTAGTCACTCACAGTTCGAGGCTGGCCAGAGTAGCTGTGGGGGTGATCCTGCGTCATTCACGGGCGCAGAGGAGTACAACATTCGCAGTTCCGCGCCCCTACGTCATCCTGATGACCCATCGTCCAGCCAGCTGACTCCGCTAGTACGCCCGAACCCATTTACCGGGGTTCGTCACTACAGCCGTCGTCAAAGGCCGAGAGTGGACATACAGGATAGAGAGCTGTTACACCAAATTGATAAGTCAGAATAGGATAGAATTATCTGATTTATTTGCTGTAATGACCTTCTCTAGTTTGTTGTACATAACACTTACATTACATTATTATTTTAATAATTATTTGAATGAATTTATGTCTTGTTTGAATTTCAAATTCCTTATTGTCCACATTTGACTCATTTCGTTCAAAATAAATTGTGGATGTGGTGGTGGTGGATGTGGAGGAGGAGGGTGGTGGTGGAGGATGTGGAGGAGGAGGGTGGTGGAGGTGGTGGATGTGGAGGAGGAGGGTGGTGGTGGTGGTGGAGGATGTGGAGGAGGAGGGTGGTGGATGTGGAGGAGGAGGGTGGTGGAGGTGGTGGATGTGGAGGAGGAGGGTGGTGGTGGTGGTGGATGTGGAGGAGGAGGGTGGTGGTGGTGGTGGATGTGGAGGAGGGTGGTGGTGGTGGTGCATGTGAAGGAGGAGGGTGGTGGAGGTGGTGGATGTGGAGGAGGAGGGTGGTGGTGGTGGTGCATGTGGAGGAGGGTGGTGGTGTTGGTGGATGTGGAGAGGGTGGTGGATGTGGAAGGGGGCCGCTGGGGCTGCTGTTGGAGGCCTGCTGTTGCCGGCTTCAGCCAGCAGATAAAACGCTGACATGCTAAGGAATAAAACGCTGCCTCAGTCAGCGTTTTTCTCCTGTTATGCATAAGCGTTTTACTGTATTTCTATTTTTTTTAAAATTTTGTATCTCACAAAATACGATTTTTTTTTAAAAAAAATAATAACCAAGGTAAAACGCTGACCGAGTCAGCGTTTTACCTCAGAAACTCAGTTTCGTAAATAGTTTGGCCACGCGTCTAGATTGGTAAATTGTTTGCCAATTAAGCTTATTTTCGTAAAAAATCCGAAATTTTGTGTAATTTTTAGATCGAATGTGAATTGAGTATTTGGACTTTCAATTAGTTATGTGCAGCCCTAAGTAGAATAAATAAAAACAGCGGTAACATGAAACTGGTAATCTGGTATAATAAAAACAGCGGTAAGATGAAATTTTTGGGAGGGAAACTTCAATCCAACACACAAAAATCATCTACTCTCAACCATTGATTAAAAACAATCTACGGTCAACATCTTCCTTTCACAACACACACGGATCACAATCTTCACCCGTCCAATACAACTCAAATCAACCGCCCAAATAAATCCCCCCTTCTTTCTCTCTCCCTATAAAAAACCCCACTTCATTTCCCCATTTCAACACTATCAATTTCCCTTCATTTTCTCTCTCCTCTGAATCTTTCAATCTTCTTCATCTTCAACCTCCGCAACGCTCAACAATGTCGGGCCGAGGAAAGGGAGGCAAAGGGCTAGGAAAGGGCGGTGCAAAGCGTCACAGAAAGGTGCTTCGTGATAACATTCAAGGTATCACTAAGCCTGCTATTCGTCGTTTGGCTCGAAGAGGTGGTGTGAAGCGTATTAGTGGTCTTATCTATGAGGAAACTCGCGGTGTTCTCAAGATCTTTCTAGAGAATGTGATTCGTGATGCTGTTACTTACACTGAGCATGCGAGGAGGAAGACTGTTACTGCTATGGATGTTGTTTATGCTCTTAAGAGGCAAGGTCGTACTCTCTACGGTTTCGGAGGTTAGGGATAGGGTTTAGGTTTGGTTGATTTTGGGGATTAGTTTTTAGAGTTAAATTGATGATAATTAGGGTTTAATGTTGATGTAAATGTTTTGGTGGTATTGTCACTATTTTTGGGTTAATGAATGAAATTGTGGTTTTAGTTTCTATCAGTTTTTCCCATTTTTGTTATTATTGTTTTTGTTTATCGATGATAATTAGGATTTTTGTTTATTGCCCATTTTTGTTATTATTGTTTTTGTTTATTTTGAATGTTTGAAGAAATCTGACGCAATTTGTCAATTAGTTTGTTTAAGAAGCAATTAATCAATTTGTTTAAGAAAAAACATTTAATCAATTAATTTGTCAGTGCTTTCATATAGATATAATGCATACGATTTATTTGATCAGTTGTATTCTAGTATTGGGTTTGGTTGCTGGGTTAATTTACTGATTTGAATTTGGAAATGATCATTTTTCCTTGTAATTTTTGTGAAGTTGGATTATGTGTTGATGATGGATTTCAATAGTATTTTTTGTATGATTTCATTTACTGCTTAAACAGATTTAAAAGGATTAAAAGTGAGTGAAGATTTTCATTTACTTACATAAGAGTTTCATTGTTTGAAGCCACGAAGTATAAGATTCTTTGATGCTCAGAATTAAGCAATGTAGAGATGTTAATGAAATCATATCTCTGGTTCAATCCAATTCTAGTACTTTGTATTACGTTTGAAATCGAACGATTTAGAGGCATGCCTGAGGTTAAGAGGTTTTATGCATCTTGGTTATAATTAGTTCTTGGTTGCTGATACTTCGACTATTAGTTGCAGATGAATTGCAGTGTATATGTCAATTTGTCAATGTGTAGCTTATTTGATAAAAAGCCAGCATAATGTTTTTGGAGCCGAGTAATAAGTGGAGATGTCTTCACTGGATGATGTCTATGATTGAGTAGGTAATAGATTTGTTTCTTAAGTAAACCTTCTGTAGAATGCTTGAATTTGCAGCTTATCAATGGAACCTTAGATAATGTTTCAATCTCCAGAATGTGAAGCTCCCTTGATCTCATTGTTTGTGCGTTCCAAATTACTTGCCCCTTATCCTCACATTAAATCATGGATTCATGGTATTGGTAATGAGTTCTAAGAGTGTTTTTGTACACATTTTACTTGTTGCTTAAACAAATTCAGAAGGGTTTGATAGCAATTGAAAAATTCTGTTTAGTTACATCAGAATTTGATTGACTGAGAGTTATAAGTTTCCCTGATGCTCTTTAAGTGCTCTGAATCAAGCAGTGGGGAGATGATAAGGAAGCTGTATCTTTGATTCAAATCCAATACTTCATAACTTCATTATATGTAAAATCGAAGCATCAAGAGGTATGTACCAGAGATTATATGCATTTCCGTATATAGTTTATGAATTTGGAAATGAGTTCTAAGAGCACTAATACACATTTCACTTACTGCTTGATTTTTTTTTTTTTTGTTTGAAGAATTTAAACATCTGATAGCAAGTGAAAACCTTCATTTAGTTACATCAGAAATTGATTGGCTTATAATATATGTGATTTTTAGATACAGAAATAGTGCAATGGCCATAACTAGAATATGAAACTGTCCTTGATCTTAACTCATTAGAAATTTAGAAATCGAAACATCCTAGAGGTATATATGCTTGAGATTTCATGCACTTCAGGTTATTTATCAGTTTTGTGGATGTTAGTACTATTGCACTTCAGGAGTTCAGTTAATCTGTTGCAGATGAACTGTATGTATATGAAGGGTATAGATATAAGCCAGAGACCAGAGTAATGTAGGTAGAGTGGTAGTTTTTCAGACATATTTTAAAAATACTGAAACTAAAATAGTACAGGTGTCTGCATTGGATCATCTCTAGTCTACACGACTATGTGTTCACCAGAAATCGTAAGAGATTGAGCATTTGGTCGATTTGGTTCATCTCTTGCCTATGTGATTACGTGTTCTGCTGTTCTGCTGTTCTCCAGAAATCCTAAGATACTAAGCATTTGTACGAATGGGTCAGAATTATTTCTAGTTGAAGCCTTTCGCAGACTATAAAGTTAAATAATGTCACTATGGACGAATTTGTCATCCTCTAAAATGTGAAGTTCTCTTTATCTCTGTATTCCAAGTCCTTGTACCTCAGTGGTTCTTTACTCCTGTGCTGCTATGTCTATTAAGGGGCATTCAATTGTTATCATACAATTAAGATCATCAGGGTATCATGAAATTACATATTTCTTACAAATTTTTGCTTATGTCAATAAGGGAAATTAAATTGTGCAGCTTAAAGGAATCGTAGAGTTGCGGACAACTTTGTCATTCTCTAGTATGTTATGTTTTTTATCTCATTTTTTGCGTTCCAAACTACTTGCCCCTGTTCCCCCACTTTAATGACGGATTCATGGTGTTGTTCTCATGCTTTTCTTCTTTATCATATGGCTACCTTTTTTTTTTTAATTTTTTTTATTTGTCTTGAAATCCTTGCAATTACCTTTGTGCAGTACTCAAGTCATAACCTTTTCTAAGTGCTATTTGTAACTTGAAATCTAGTGAAATGGCATAGGGCTGACTTCAAATAAGTGATCATGAAGTGATTCAAGTTGGAGATGATATCTAGTTTTAAAAGCTTTTCAAAGACTGGTCATATGCTTAATTTCGATTAGAAACGAGAAAGTTATAGTCGTTTTACGAAGAACGGACAAATTTGGAATACGAATTTGTTGACGAAGCGCTCGACCAAGCACTTGATCATGCGAAGCCTGACTTGAAAAAACCCTAGGTTTGGGTAGAATTTTTGGGCCCGGAGTTCAAGGCCGACCCAATCAAAAAAAAAAAACGGGTTTGGGCAACTCAAAAAATTCATTTTCATTTAAATTTTTTGGCTCAGATCGATTTTGAATCGAAAAGCTCCTCTTTTTTTTTTTTTTTTTTTTTTTTTTTCCTTCAAAATAGTGGGTTTGGGCATGATTTTTTTGGCTTGAAGGCTTGACTCGAAATGGACCGATTTTTTGGGCAAAGCCCGACCTGACCCATGATAATCACTCTAGAGAGCCATTGACACTAGGACTCCTTGTACATTCTCGTCAGTGGCGGACCCAGGAATTTCCGACTGGTGGGTCACAATCGATAATCAAGTATGTAAAAAAAATAAATTACCGAACATAATGACATAATCACATAAACATATTACACAAAACACAATTACACAAAACAGATTTCACATAAGTTCAAGAGACAAGTAATGCAAATTTGATCAAAAATTCACAAAAAAAAAAAAAAAAAAAAGAATCAATTGATGAAATTAGAAATCAACTTACTCATTCCCTTAGAAAACCAAGAGGTTGCCAACCTGGCCTTGGGCGAGACTACGTTTTCCTTTGATGCTCATTCCCTTTAGTGGACTCAAGCATTAATTATTTTGACACTTCTAAGCACTCGAATTTGTTATCCTTGCCGGGAACTCCAGCATAATAGCCTTATTTGCACATTCATCATTGCAATCTTGTTTTGTGTTGTGTTTACAGCCTGTAAATTACAGCCAACTCCAACACTTCAGTGATTGACAGGATATAGAGTAAAGTTAGCAAAAATTCGAAATCGGCTACAATATTAGAGCTCAATTTAGACACTAAATTAAGCCAAATTTTTAGGTTACAAAGAAAATAAAAAAATACAAGCAAAAAGTCATATTAAACAAAAAAAAAATCCAACAAGAAAGTATGAGAATAAACCTAGAATGAAATAAATGGCCAAAGAAATTAGCGAAGCAGAACAAGATAGATTAGAAATGAACACAAATTTCAACCGAAATTATTATAATAGGTGAGAAGAAAACTTTCAATCAGGGTAGAATGAATTTCTATCAGATGCTAGCACCATTTGGATGGTTGAAAGGCAAAAGCAAAGCAGTCCAATTGATTTGATATTCAATAATAAAAAATAAAAAAAATAAATAAACAAATAGAGCAAAAAAAGAAATTGAAGTGAAAATCAGAAACTACTTCGATGGAGGAGATAAAGCACAGTAGGCGCTTCAATGGAGAACTAGCGAGTAGCGATTTCAAAATGCGATTATGCGACTATGCGAGAAGCCACGAAGAGGACGGAGTCCACGACCACCGACGGACCGACCACCAGGCGAAGAGAACGGTGGCTGCCTGGCTGGGACGAAGCGAAGAGTCGAACTGAAGAATGGAGATGAGGCGAAGTCGCGAAGAGAAGAAGGCTAGGGTTTGATTGTTTGAAGAAGACAGAAACTCGGGATTTCGAAAGCAAATGTCAGTTTTTTTTTTTTTTTTTTTTTTTTTTTCAAAAAATAACTTCAAATTTTTTTCTGGGCCTGGTGAGTCACTTGACCCACCAGGTCTAAGCCCAAGTCCGCCACTGATTCTCGTTGTTCTTTCCATTATAGTGAAAAAACTTTCGAATCCCCCCATGTGAACATAAATCTAAATTGACCGAACCACGTAAACCCTTGTGTTCTATTTGTTAATTTTCTTTATTGTTTTTTTCTCGTTCTTATTATTTCATTGACTTGTTTCGTATTAATCATGTTCAGCTTTTATTAATCATCTTCAACTTTTAATATATATATAATCATTTTCAACTTTCATTATTTCATTGTCCCGTGGAATAAGAGATCAAAATATTTTACAGGAAAATGTTAGTAACAATCAATATACACTATAAACAAAACAAGATAATTAAATAAACATTTACAAAAACAATTTTGAACACGTTGCCAGAAAATGAACATAGTTCAATATGAGAATGAACAAGTATTAAAATCTATATGATCATCTTTCAACATAAAAATGAACATATACTAAAAGTCAAATGAACATCTTTTAATACGAGAATGAACAAATGTAAAAATTTAATTGAGTATTTCTTTAATATAATACCAAACAAGTATTAAAAATTGAAACAAATATCTTTTAATATGACAATGAACCAATATAAAACTAAATGAATATGTTTAATCATAAATAAATATATACTTACTCCGTTTTTATTTAGTTGACACGTTTAATTTAAGAACACATATTAAAGAGATGAGAGAGAGTGAGAGAGAATGTTAAAGCAAGTGGGGTAGCTAGTAAATGTAAAGTATAAAACTTACTAAAAAAAACATGTGAACTAAA